GCGGGGAGCGACGAGAGCGGGCCGGTGGAGCTGTCGGTGTGCGATGTGGAGGCGCTGAACGGTGCGCTTGTGCTGACCGGCACGTTTCCCGCGGGGTCCGTGCTGACGGTGACGGACTCCCTGCTGGTTGCCGCGAGGTCGACGCCGCTTGTGTATCTTCCCGGCTCGCAGTCCTCGCCGTACGCACCTGTGCTGGTGCTGTCGGGCCTGCGGCTTGTGCGGTCCGTGCTGGTTGTGTCCGGCGTTGCCCTCGTGACCGTGATGACTGGTGGGCGGACGGTGGTGGTGGACGGCGCCGTGCTGGAGCTTGTCGGTGGCGGTGTCGCGCTGGACGCGGCTGTGCTCGGTGGCGAAGTTGCGTTGTACGCGAGTGCGCGCGTGGTTGCGTCGGCGGGCACTGTGCTGCGCGTGTCGGGGAGCCAGGTGTACGCCGCGCATGGGTTGGTGTTTGACAGCGGGGTGGAGGCCAACGCGTCCGCCGTCGTAGTGAACGATAACGCCGGTGCGCTGACCGATGGCGCGCTGCTGGTGCTGCGGGGGTCGGCGTCGTTTGCGTCCGGGTCGTGGCTGTCGGTGTGTGGCAACAGCATCAGCGGCAGGCTTCTGTCGGTGCCGTCGTACCCGCGAAGTGCGGAACTCGTGCAGAGCACGCTGGCGCTCTATGGGAACGTCGGCAGCGGGTCCGTCGTGATGGACGGCACCGTTGCGCTCGGGGGCGCCGGCGGAAAGTTCGTCGTGGGGTGCCTGACGCTCAACGGGCAGGCGCTGCAGCCGATGGACTACAGGTCCGCCGGCATCATCGGGGAATTTCGCCCCGTGGCGTGTGGCGTGTGCGACGCCGACGTGAGCTGCTTTGCTGCTGCGACGAGGGCGATGTCGGGGTCGTGCCGCTGCCGCTGTGCTGAGGGCGGGTACGGGCGCGACTGCCTGCCGGTTTACCTGCCGCACGTGGACGGGTGCAACCGCACGCCCGCCCTGCCGCTGCTGAGCCACACGGCGACGCTGACGGAGACGCGCAGTCTGACAACAACGTGGACGGCGACGCCGACACCAACACCGAGCCTGAGCACGGCGCACTACAGTCCGACGCAGTACGGGCCGACGGAGACCCTGCAGGTGACGGAGACGGTGGCGCTGCCGCCCACGCGGACCCCGACGGCGTCGCTGAGCAGCACTCCGTGGTGGAGCGAGGTGACGTGCCCGACGCTTGCCGTGACGACGACGGCGGCTGGTGGGAGCCTGACGCAGAACGACATCCGCGGCGGTGGGAGCGCCGTCCCGACACTGCTGATGGTGTCGCTGCCGCCGCCGTTTCGTTGGGCACGCGACCCGCAGCTCGGCAAGCACCTGAGCTTCGTGCC